TTTGCGCGGCAAGTGCGTTTAGCTGGTCGCATGTGTTCGGGGCGCGTGACGGGTGGAAAGACCGCTCACCAGCAACTGGCAGTCCCCTGCCCGCGGGCCAGAATAATCGTCGCGCGCTCGCAACGGGGCGTGGGTAAGCGGGTTGGGAAGAGAGCGCGAGTCTCATTCCCAAAAAGTCCATTCGATAGGCAGCCAACAGCCCTTTTTCTTCTCATCTGCCGCGCGGCCAACCGAACGAACGAACAACTGTCTCGGCGCGCCGTGTTAATAACGCTTGCGCGCATCCTGGCTTCCTTCTGTTGCTTCCTTCGCGTCTTTCTTGCCCTCCTCTTCTTTTTCCTTTGCCCCTGCTTTGCCTTGTCCCGCCCCCCCTTCCTATCCAGCTCGGAGCTGTCGCCGCGCGCGAGGAGCGCAACCCAAAGGGCGTTGCTGCAATTCCTTTGTGTACCACGAAGTCGCGCGCAATTCCCTTGTGCGCGGTCTGGTTAAACTGCCGGCGCGGGGGGCACGCAAAGGAATTTCCTTTGTGTGCGACCGTTTTCGCCGCCCCCACAAGAGCATGCGCGATTCCTCTGTGTAGACCTTGCTTTCCCGCCTCGAGGAACGCACGGGGCCTGGCGCTGCAATCGCAAGGCCGCGGCGCCTGGCAGTGCGATGTAGTTGCGCCGGATACCGCGCCCAAGCGATCCTGCGTGGATGTCGGCTCTTTTGCCGAAATCGCGTTGGCAGCTGGCTAGCCACGTCGCTGGCCCTGCATGCCCGCGCGCGCGACTGCGCTTCGTTGCCGCGACGCGTGTTGCTGTCAACGGATGAACAAGCTGACGTTGCACGGTGGTCTGGCTGTGCCAAACCACCATGGAATTCTAGTTGGTAGCGGATTGGGGGATTTTGTCGCAGCCGACAGCCTTGCCACACCGTACATGTCAACTGCATCCTAGAGCGCGGCCGTGCATCAACCCTGGTTCGGATCGCTGGGGATCCAGTAGCATGTGTGCGCATGCGTTGCACCGTTGGTGGTGCCAAAACCCTTTGCGTGAAATTCCTTTGTGTGTTTTTCCGGCTCCTACACTCACTGGAATAACAGGCGCTCCAACGGCGCTGAGATCAACGCCAAGATGCAGTCGTACGCCTCCAACTTCAAACCGATCACGGCTGATCAGAGGGACGGCAACAACGACCGACTACTCGCGCCGAAGGAGATGCGCCAACTCCGAGGTCTACATCGGCGCTACGAAAGTTTTGACCCGTTTTGTGTTTTCAGTAAACAACGCCTGAGCACCACATTGGTTATGAACACCGCGACGGCCGCGTGCATCATTCCATAGCCTGAGAGCACCACAGAACCTATGGGCAGCCGAGCAGCCGAGCGCCGAATTCTGTTTTGGAGGAAGTCATGGGCGGGAGCGAAATTTCGAGTTCGAACGGAACAAATGCCGAATTTCATTTTGCAGGAAGTCCTGTGCGGGAGCGCCATTTCGTAATCGAGGCAGAAAGTTTTCGACAAATATGGTTTGAGGAAGTCCTGTGCGGGAGCTCCATTTCGAAATCGAAGCAGAAAGGTTTCGAATTCTATTTTTGCGGAAGTCCTAGGCGGGGGCGCCATTTCGAAATCGAACCCGCAAGTGTCGAAATCGTTCGAAATCGTTTTTTTTTTCTCCGAAGAACTATCAAACGAAACCGCCGTGCCGAAATGGCCGCGCCGTTTGGCATTACATATTTTCAAAACCCTGACCCGAAAACTCGAAAATGCAGTTTTCGCTTAGGACTTCCCCCCCCCCAAAGCGAGCTCGACTGGATTTCGGAACCCTGGGCTCGATTTCGAAATGTGGCTTTCGCCTCGGACTTCCCCCCCAAAACAAGCTCGACTGGATTTCGAAACCCGCGGGCTCGATTTCGAAATGGCGGCGCCGCCCGAGACTGGAGCGAAAAATGCTTCAAGCGAACATTGCTGGGGCCCCGCGGCCTAACGGGCCCGCTGCCAACGTTGTGCTGGGCCCCGTCGCCTAACGGGGGGCGTTGAATTTTGGCCGAACTTTCGTAGCGGCGAAGTATTTGGAGCTCTACAGTGGCCAGGTTCGCAAGCGCGCCCACGCGCGTCAGCCTCGGTCAGCATTCATCGGCGACGGCGGCGACAGCAAGAGAGGTAAATGAGACGCTCGGGTTCTACAGGCAGAACGCGGTCGTCGGTCTCAAGATGCAGAAGATTGGCAAGGTCAGCGACGTCGTGTTCGTGGCGATGACGGACGCAGCTTGGGGAATGCGACGCGACGGATCTAGTCATGGAGGGTATGTCATTATGGCATGCCACGAAAGTACATGACGGCGAGGATTCGGATTTCTGCGTTGGCGATTTGAAGGAAGTCTATCAGGTTGGCGAGACTAGCCAGGTCATCGCGAACATGCAGAATCCCAATCAGCGGCAGCAGGCGTGAACGCACCAGAATTTGCGAAGCGATTCTGGGCGCCCCTCGTCTACGACAACGTGACCGTCAACGTTGACGAGGGCGCGCGCTACGCAGGAGAGCCAGCACTCGCGCTCGATGCGAAGGCTCTCTACGACGCAGCCAAGAATAATATCGCCAGCTTCCAGGACAAGCGCGCTGGCATCGAGGTATTGGCACTGCGAGAACGGATGGATGCTACGCAGACGCAATGGAAGTGGACTTCATCAGATCGGCAGTATGCCGATGGTCTCACGAAGTTAGCGGCAAGGCAACTCTTCGCAGACAGACTTCGAGCTGGGCGACTTCAGCTACAGCACGACCCTACCTATGCGGCAGCCAAGAAGAATACCAAGGAGAAGCGACAGGCTATCAGCAAGAACAGATGGAGACGTCGTCAGCTACCAAGGCGAGATCACCACTCATACAGTCGGCAGTTTTGTGCGACGTGTTGTTGCAAGTTAGCGTCAACTTGCGCTCCAGTGTTCGACTGCCACGCAGAGTGCAAGTACTACTATGACGAGATCGTGAAGTGTTCGTGCTTCTCTGGAGGCATCTGGGGTGCATTAACATTTACTATGACTGGAATGGCAGTGGCAGTTCCAGCAGTCTACAACATATTGCGAGAGTCCATGGAGCATCGAGACGACTCCAGTATGAAGTATCAGACAGAGACCAGCGACAATCATGAGACGACAGAGGAGACAGTGGCGACCAGCATCGACAAGGAGACGACCATTCACCTCAAGAAGACGAGCAGCAACCACACGCAGGTGCGACGGCGGACGGCCGGCGTACAGAGTATGATTATTTACCGGTTGCAGGGAGATCAGTGGCGATTCTGTCACAAGAGGAATGGTTTCAAGCGAGCAGGCGAGTTTTCAGTGGAGACGACTGAACCCAACCAGTGGCAGGACGGCTACGATCGGGCAGCAGACGACAGCCCCAAGAGCTGCAGTGAGTGAGCCAACGCACCAGCGCAGTTTCAGATGAGTTCCGTTGTACGTTCAATGTTATATCCAGTTTTGCGCGTCATATGCCCCTTGCAGACGCGGGTTTGCACTTCGTATTGCTGCAGGTTTTGGTTCATGCAGTCTTCCGCAGCTTGTGCAGAAGATGTTTAAGGTGTTTACCAGTGGAGTTTCGGACTTCACATGTGATATTGAAGGAAGGCTTTTCCCTTTTCAACTTTTTATACGTTCACGGGTGCGATATATACGCTGTACATCTGGTGTATTGTGCAGAGCGCGATTGTAACATAGCGAGCGTACTGTTACGTTTTGGCCCACACCTTGCGGGACCCTTGCGCCGAGCGCGCCAGCGGTGTGAAGAGATCATCATATGGTCTTTTTTCCCTACCTAGGCTCTGCCTAGAAGGGTTCTTACTTTCTTTGCTAAAGGGGGCGGGCAATGGAACCCACCCCGGGCGGTTCCCCCAGTTGCGCCCCCCTGGTTCCCCCAGTTGCGCCCCCCTGGGTTCACCCAGTTTAGCTTAGCTAAGCTTAGCTTAGCTTCGCTTCGCTTAGCTTTAGCTTAGCTTAGCTTAGCTTAGCTTAGCTTAGCTTAGCTTAGCTTAGCTTAGCTTAGCTTAGCTTTGCCTAGCCTAGCCTAGCTTAGCTTAGCTTAGCTCAGCTCAGCTTAGCTTAGCTTAGCTTTGCCTAGCCCAGCTTAGCTTAGCTTAGCTTAGCTTAGCTTCTTCGCTTCGCTTCGCTTAGCTTAGCTTAGCTTCGCTTCGCTTAGCTTAGCTTAGCTTAGCTTAGCTTAGCTTAGCTTAGCTTAGCTTAGCTTACCCCATCTTAGCTTAGCTTAGCTTAGCTTAGCTGTTGCTTTCCTGAATGCTCCAACTCCTAGGTAGGGTCGCACTGGGATAATCATTATTACTGTTGCCATCCAAGACTTCGGGGTTTTGATAGCTGCATACCTCGGGAGTGCAAATATTGCATACTGTACAAAGCTTTGCGGCCTCGGGGACGCGAGAGTCGTGCAATTCACGAGGGATAATGGTTTCGGGGGCGCGAATATCATATATTTTACGTGTCCCACGACCCCCCGGGAATTCAGAGCATGCGATTCGGGGACGCTCGCCAGGACGCTTGTCGGTTCCCTCCCTCGCGCGGGCTTCAGTTTACAATAAATACATAACGTAGAACTATCATACTGAAAGCTGGAACATGCAACTGGCGCAGGGATCATGAAAGCCTGATCTTCGCAGCCTGATGGCCCCGCAAGGAGGCCCGCGGATTAGAACGACGACGACGAAAAGGCAACAAGGACGTATCGCTTATCGTTATCGCTGCTTTTCCAGGTGGAGGAGGCGGAGGAGGAGGAGGAGGAAAAGGGCGGCGGAGGAGGAGGAGGAGGACGGGGAGGAGGAGGAGGAGGAGGAGGAGGAGGAGGAGGAGGAGGAGGAGGAGGAACGAGGAATGAGGAAGGAAGGACGAGTGGGGGCACTCCGCCCCGCCCCCTGGACGTCCGAGGCCACACCGAGCCTATGAACTCGGGGACCAGCTCCCGAAAAAACTTCGACACTTGTGAAAACAAGCCCCCCCGACCCCCCAGCGCGGCGCATCCGCTGGCCTCCAACCTGGTGCGGCTGGCGCCCGTGCTGCACGACCTCCTGCTGCCCCCCGCGGCGGCGGGCCTGTCCTGGGCGGGGGGGGGTGCGGCGGCGAGCGGGAGCGTCGGGTCGGACCCTGAGGACGGGGACAGGGGGAGCACGAGCTCTGCTGCCTGCAGCTGGTTTCGCCCCTGCCGCCGGGCGCCTTTATCGATACGTTGGCGCCTCCAGCGCCGGGATGCGCCCGGAAAGCAAGATACGCGAGCTGATTCGCTAGCCCCCCCTCTATCACCCCACCCCTTCCGTCCGACCCGAGAGCGGAAGGTTTCGGTCAAGGGCAGCGTTTGGGAGTGATAGTGCAAATGGGGGTGGGGGGGCGATGTTCGAGGTTCGAGGTTTTCGAGAGTTGTCGAGAGTTTTCGTCGGTTCTTGGGGGTTCCCTGCCTCGGGGTGTGTTCTGGCGACTGCGCCTCGCCGAGGGCGTTCCGCAGCTGCCCGAACGGCCGCTTGAGTTCCCTGCCCGAAAACCAACGGATGCTCGGGATGCAACTCCAGAATGGTCCAGAGATCGGGCGCATCGCGTGGCGGGCCACTCGCGCGTACCATTGCACCAGGGAGTCTGCGAGGCCGAGCCACATATCACGGCTCCTGGCGACATCGTTCCAGCTGCGATAGCCTTTCGTCGCACAGAAGCGCCTCATCGTTAGGGGGAGAGGCTCAGGGGGGACGCATCGATCCCCAATCGCCGATTCATCGCCGATAGGGGCTTGATAGCCCGCCCAGGAGCATGTGCGTTCGCTGTTGGGGGCCTATCGCCGATCGATCGGCGACGTATCGCCGAATCCAGGTCGGCGTTTCCCCCCAGTCCACCCTTGACGTTGCCCCTCAGGAGAGGGGTCGGAGGGGTCCCGGGCGTCGAGGGCTCCTGGAGGAAATGCACGCACGGATGCGCGTGGGTCATCGACGGGTCCCGTTTCGTTGCAAGCTCGACGCGTTGTGTCGCAAACTCCAGGCGGCACTCGCGCAATGTTGCCAGAGGTACATTCCCCGATCCGTGGATTCCTTTCGCTTCGCGGGGTTCACATCCAGAATGTTTAGAGTCTGTGAGTTTCGGTCCTTCTGGGAGCCTTGCGGAGGCCTCTTGGGGCCTCTCTGGGACATCTCGGGGCCGCTCGGGGGCTTGTTGGGAGCTTGTTTGGGCATCTTCGGGGCGTCTTGGGCCGTCTTCGGGCGCTGTTGGACCGTCTGGTGGCCGTCCTGGGGGCCCTCACTTGGCCGTCTTGGTGCCCTGGGGCCTCCAAGGGCCGTCTTGGTGGTCTCCTGGGTCGTCTTGGGGCCCACTTGGGCCGTCTTGGGGCTGTTTGGGGAGCCATTTGGGTCACGCTGGAGCTGCCTGGGCCGTCATGGGGTTCCCTTGGGGGCCTCTTGGACCGTCTTGTGGCCCTCTTGGGTACAACTTGGGGCTGTCTTGGGGTGTCGGAAGTCCGAAACGGCGAGAACGGTAAAATCTGTTCACCACCTTGGAGCCCCTCTTGAGGGTCCTCTCGGAGCTCCTCTTGGGCCGTCTCGAGGGCCTCTTGGGCCGTCTTGGGGTCCTCCTGGGCCGTTTTGGGGCCATCCTGTGTCGTCTTGGAGCCATCTCGTGCCGTCTCGACACCCTCCAGAGGCGTCTCGAGGCCCAAGCCACAGACCGCCCGAGCATCGTGTCGTACCATGTCTGCCGTTGCAGGTCAAGGCTCGGCCCCGATAGACTTCTCGAGCGCCTCGCCGGCGGTGAGCTTTCTCGGGGCCCCGCCAGGACCCACAACGGCGAGGTCGGACAGCGGACCCCCAGGCATTTGTGGATCGTGTACCCCAATTGGGTGCTGGGGCTACAGCGGCCTGTGGTTCACCCCTTCAGCGAGAGGAGGCCGAGCCCCCTCGGGTTCTGGCGACGCAGCTGGCCCGAATCTGACAGGAGGCCCAATGAGGCATGAGGGAGGCGGGTTGGGTTTGGAGGGGCCACTCTGGCCGAGGAGCGCGAGCAACGTCAACCCTGAAGGTAATCAGGGCCGAGCCGCACCCCCCCGAGTAGGGAAGGACGGGGAGGGGACAAAGAGGGGAGCGCCCTAACCATACCATGTACTTGGGCGACTCGTTCGGGCCAAGCACAGCCCGTCTGACCAGCCCCCCCTGGCTTGTGGCGTCGAGGTGGCGCACTCTTAGCACCATGGCGGGGTGTATCTCGGTCCCCGTATACAGGGTATTTGTTTCTCGTTAGGGGGGGCTTCTTCGTGCCAAGAGTACAGCCCGAATGGCCCTCCTGGTTTGTGGTGTCACGGTGACACACTCCACAAGCAGGGTTCAGGCTAATGAGTTCCTTTTGACCAATCCAATCCTGGGGCTCGTACCCGTCCCCTGGCCAATGCTACCGACAACAGGACCTGGCGCCCAGAGGCCCCTGGATATCGCAAGGGTATGTTCGGGCGTGCCCATCGGATTTTAATCAGGGCTGTAAGCAGATAGCAGGTGTTTGCTTTGGAGGGCAAAGTCGACCTGCGTCTAGGTCTAGAAAACTAATATAGGGGCCTATGCCAAATACCGTTCTGACTTTCTGTCTACAGGCGTCTATATGCACATAGGATGTCGTTACTGATGTAGACGCAACATTCGGGGTGGATGCGTCAAAAGACAACGCGGCCGTTGCGTTCGGCGCAGTACAAGGTCGGAGAAAGGGTAGATCCGTATACGGTATGTTGGTATGTTGCTGTTCTGCAGCATGTCCCACATGGTAATCCAATATTTGCCAAGGATTGTGCCTCAAGAGGTAGCGCACTACCTGTGGTGATCCCCTCATATCTGGGGGACCATGCCAATTAGAAAGTGCAAGGTGTTTGGGTGCCCCATCGGATGGTGTTCCTCAGGCCGTGAGACCAGCCCGAACAGTCCCCTTGGCCTGTGTCGCCCAGGTGATTGAACCCCAACGAGCTCGAGAGAGGTGCTCAGTGGAGACTGTGTGTCTCCCTACATGTCTTCCCGTGCGTCCTCTCTGTTAACTCATGCTTGGGCCGTGCTCACCTTCGGCACGGGGAGGAGTAGGAGCAGGAGTAGGGTGGAGGATGGAGGAGGAGGAGGAGGATGAGGAGGAGGAGGAGGAGGAGATGCAGGAGGAGGATGGGAGCAGAAGTGGCCCCCCAGCCCAGGCGGCCGGAGATGCCCCATCGCCGCCCAGTCTGCCAGAGACGTGCGCCGGGCAGGGGTGGCCAACCCGAACCCAGGTGCAGTCGATACGAGGCAACGCTCCCAGGACCAATGATCTTGATTATGTTGATAATGCTGATGATGATGCTGATACTGATGCTGGTGCTGATGCTGACGATGATGATGGTGACGATGAGGATGATGATGCTGATGATCATGATGATGATCCTGATGATGGAGATGATGCTGTTTATGATGATCATGCTAATGATAATGGTTTTGATATTGATGACGATGATGATGAGGATGATGATGGTGATGACGATGACGATGATGGTGATCATGACGATTATGATTATGATGACGATGTTGAATAATCTAATAATGATTAAGATGATCATGCTGATGATGCTGATGCTGGTGATGGTGATGATGATGATGATGGCGATGATGATGGTGATTTCGATGATGATGTTGATCGTGATGGTGATGGTAAATGTGATGGTGATGGTGATGATGATGATGATCACGATGTTGATGATGCTGCTGCTGATGACATCGAGGATGCAGATGATGATGATGATGATGATGATGATGATGATGATGATGATGATGATGTTGATGACGATGATGATATCTAGGATGTAGATGATGATGACGATGATGATGGTGATGATCATGATGATGACACTGATGGTGATGACGATGATGACGATGACGATGGCGATGATGATGACGATGACGATGATGATGCTGATGATGATGATGTCCATGATGATGATGCTGATGATGATGGTGATGATGATGACGATGATGATGATGGTGGTGATGATTCTTATGATGATGATGATGATTGTGATGATGATGATGATGATGATGATGGCGATGGTGATGGTGATGCTGATGATGATGATGATGATGATGATGATGAGCATGATGATGATGATGATGATGATGATGATGATGATGATGATGATGATGATGATGATGATGATGATGATGATGATGATGGGTGTTATGGTGTGGGTGATGGTGATGGTGATGCTGATGGTCTTGACTATGATTTAATCGCTTCGCTCATTCCGCCGCCCATATTGTCTCGCCGCGTGCCGCTTGACGGCTGCCATTTTCCGGAGGCGGTGCGTGCAGTTGTTGTGGAGTTGCTTCCTGGGGGTCTGTCGCAGACCCCTAAGGTGTTGTCTTGGCAGTCGTGGGTTATCAGGGGGGTTGAAGATGTTTGGCTTGTGCCGTTGTGGGTCTTTTGTGGCCCTTGAGGACCTCTAGTGCACGCGCGACCATATTGAATGACAGATGTTATGTCGCGGGACCCTAGTGAAGGACATGTGCTATGTGTTGTCGTGCTCGTGGCGAACTAGAAGGAGGAGAAGGGCTTCCTGCTCCCCCTACCCCCCTCGGCACACCGACTGGATCGTGGACAAGAGTCTTCTTTGGGAGGCGTCATGTTTCTCGTGGGCGGCCTACTGGTGGCCTCTGGGAAGCATTTTTGCGGCCCCTTGGTGCCTTTCGGAGACGTTTCGGGTGCCTCTTGGGGCCTCTTAGGCTGCTCCCCGACGGTTCGGAGGCCTTTTTGGGCCTCCTTGGCCCCCTGGGGGCCCTTTGGGGGCCTCTCGGGGCCTCGATGGCGCCGTGGGGGCCTCTTGGAGGCACCCTGGGGGCATCTTGGGGGGCCTCTAGGGGCCTCTTGGGGCTCTTGGCGGCCTCTTGGGCTTTCTGGGAGCCTCTCGGGGGCATCTTTGGCGCATCTTGGGAGTTTGTGAAGTTCTGCTTGCTGAGGCCCAGTTGAGGGGCCTCTGAAGGCCCTCTTTGGCTTGTCTGGGACCACCGTGGGGAAACATGGAGGCATCTTGGGATCATGTTCGGGCCATCGTGGGGCCTGCCACCTACTGATGCGGAGTCATGGGCCCTCTTGAAGCTCCCTTGGGGTCTCTTGGGGCGCTTCTGGGGCGATATTGAGGGAGCCGATAGCCGCCCCCTGGAGTTCTGGCATCATTGAGCGGACCTTGCCGGGTCCTTGCCGGGAGTCGGCCAGGGGCCGCCCCGCGCGCGCGAACCAGAACATACGGAACCAGTTACCGGAGATCTTAGCTCGCCTCTGGCCCGATGGGCCAGCGACGTATAATGATGATGATGACGATGATGACGAAGAGGATGTCAATGACGATGATGATGTTGATGATGACGATATTAATGATGATCATGCCGATGATAATGGTGATGATGATGATGATGATGACGATGATGATGATGATGATGATGATAATGATGATGATGATCATGATGATGACGTTGACGATCACGATGTTGCAGATGTAGATGATGATGATGATGATGATGCTGATGATGATGATGATGATGATGGTGATGGTGATGGCGATGGTGATGGTGATGGTGATGGTGATGATGCTGATGTTGTTGTTGTCGTTGTTGTTGTTGATGCGGCGATATTGTTGCTGCTGCTGATGGTGATGTAGTGATGGCGATGATGATGGTGGTGACGATGGTGATGCTAATGGTGATGGTGATGGTGATGATGATGATGCTGATGATGATGATGATGATGAAGATGACCATGACGAATACGATGGTGATGCTGATATGGATGCTGAGGATGGTGATGCTGAAGCTGCTGATGATCATGATGATGACAATGTTGGTGAGTATGATGATTATGCTGATGGTGATTATGATGTTGATCATGATCATGATGATGACGATGCTGATGCTGTTGGTTGTGATGCTGATGACCGGTCATACGATGGTGACGATGGTGATGATGACGACGACGATGTTGGAGAATTCGAATAATCAAATGATGTTGCTGATGATGATGCTGATGATGATACCGATGATGCTGATTATGAGGCTGACGCTGATGTCGATGAAGATGATGATTACGATGGTGATACTGATAATTATGCTGATGATGATGCTGATGCTGCCGATGATAATACTACCAGGATGGTGATGCTGCTGATGATGACGATGATGATGTTGATGATGATGATGATGATGATGATGATGATGATGATGATGATGATGATGATGATGATGATGATGATGATGATGATGATTCGTATGATGAATATGTTGATGATGGCGGTGGCAACGGTTGTGATAGTCATGTTTGCTGACCAATGGTGGTGATTGTGGTGGTGGTTGCGGTGGTGGAGGTCATTTGAAGGCGGCCCCCACTGCCGCCGACCCCAACGAAGGCGACAGGTGGCCTTCGGCTCCTCTGGGGCTGAAGGGGCAGAGGCCCCAGGAAGCGTCGGAACGACTTGGAGCGCTTCCGAGACAGCTCAGAAGGGCTCTGAGGCTTCCATTAGCACCCAAGAGACCGCCAAGAAGCCTGCAACAGGCTCCCAAGGCCGTCCACAGAAGAGAGCCCCGAAGAAGCCTCCAACAGGCTCCCAAGAGCTCCGAAGAAGCCCGAGAGAGGTCAACCTGTTTCAGAACTGTTGGAGCATCTACGCAATTATGTGTTTGGCGCTCTCGCTCCCAAGAGGCTCCGAAGAGCCCTCAGGAGGTGCTCAAAAGGCCCCCGAGAGGCTTTCAAATGCCGAACGGCCCCCAATAGACCTACAAGAGCCCCCAAGAGACCCCCAAGAGGCCCCAACCAAATCCAAGAGTCCCCAAGAGGTGCCGCCTCAGAGAGCTCCACAGGATACCCACCAGCCATCCAAGATGGCGGCGAACTCGAAGGAGGCGGCTCCTCTCTCCTCTTCCTGCCCTGGTGGTTATCCAGCCTCGGGGTGTTTTCCAGCAGTTGTGCCTCGCCGAGTGCGTTCCAGGGTGTCTGGATCTCTCCGACCGACCACCTGGTCCCGCTATCCTCGAAATCCGCCGCTCCGTTATCTCCGATATTCACCGCCCTGCACGTCTGAAAGGCGATGGGGCGAAAGGAAGCAGGCAGGATGAGGAGGCTCTGGGAGGGTGACGGGACGAGGAGGTAGGCGAGGAGGTAGCATTTCACACGCGCATGACTACCGTGCTGTATACTATTCTCCACGCTGGATCCCATCACCGTGCGTGACCACCATGCTGTGTCATCTTCTTCTCCCGGTAGCTTGTGGGTTACGAAGGAGTCTGCACATGCCTCTGAGGTCGGCGGAGCACATGGATGTGTATTGGTGCACAGGTACATACACATATGCTAGATCTCGATAAGTCTTGGCGACTTGTGTGAATTTCTGCCAGCTTGACAGCTCTCGACAGCTTTGTCAGGGCGTGGGTGGGCGTCGTTGGGAGTCCTGGGTGGGTTTTTGCAGGGATGGAGAAGGAGGAGGAGGGTCCAGAGGCGGAGGTTGATGATGATCATGGTGATGGTGATGTGGATGAGAAGGAGGAGGAGGAGGAGGAAGGGGTGGAGGACGAGGAGAAGGAGGAGGAGGAGGAGAAGGAGGGGAGGAGGAGAAGCTAAGGAGGAGGATATTAAGGGTAAGGAGATGGAGTGGCATGAGAAGGAAAAGGCGAGAGAAGGAGTCGGAGGAGGAGGAGGAGGAGGAGGAGGAGGATAAGGAGGAGGAGGAGGAGGAGGAGGAGGAAGAGGAGGATACGGAGGAGGTGGAGGAGGATACGGAGGAGGAGGAGGAGGAGGAGGAGGAGGAGGAGGAGGAGGGGGGAGAAGGTGGAGGAGGAGGAGGGGGGGGGCCATTTCTCCTGATTCTTCCCTGCTCACCCTGCTGCTTAAGTTTCCTCCCCCCTCTCTCTCGCCGCTGCCGCCGCCGCCGCCGCCGCCGCCGCCGCCGCCGTCGTCGTCGTCGTCGTCGTCGTCGTCGTCGTCCTCGTCCTCGTCCTCGTCCTCGTCCTCGTCCTCGTCCTCGTCCTCGTCCTCGTCCTCGTCCTCGTCCTCGTCGCCCTCGGCGGCGGCGCCGCCGCTGGGAAGGCCGCCAGGAAGGCTGCTTGGAAGGCCGCCGAAGGCTCCCCGACGGCCCCCGAAGGCTTCAGAAGGCCGCCGCTGCAGTCCACGAGAGGCCTCGGGAGGCCGCCGGAGGCCGCTGGACGCCGCTGGAGGCCGCTGGAGGCCTCAGGCCGCCCCGGAAGGCTGCCGAAGGCGGCCGAAAGACCCTCGAAGGCGTCAGAAGGCCCATGGTCTGCAGGTGAGGTGTCGAGGGCCGCCGAGGGCCACCTTGCGCCCAGCCCGAGCCCAGGCTGGCGCCGCCGTTCGCGAAGGGCGGCGTAGGGCGCCTGCACCCCTCGACGCTGCGCCTGGCCGGCGGGAGGGCCACGAGCGGCGAACATATCCGTATCCGCGCCCTCCCGATCTTGATTCCGGTGCGCGATGCCGCGGCTACGCGGTCGCACGAAAAAGTTCCGCACGGGGCATCCACGAAAAAGACCTCGTATCCGAGGGGTCGCGGCCCAGGGGCCCAGCCCGCGATGCCGCGGATACGGATATGCTTGTCGGCCGCGACGAGGATCGCGGGGTCTTTCTCTTTTCGGTACGATTTGGGTATGTGGGGTATTTCCTCCGAGGCGTAGACTTAGCCATAGCCACTGCTTGGGGGATCGATCTTCGGGGACCTCGGCAGGTGGTGGATCTGATTATGTTCGGGGCCCCTTGGGCCGAGCTACATCCATAACCACCGCCCGTTAGGGTCCCAGGACGTCGGTGCCACATGCGGTGGATACGGACAGATCCTCGCCTCGCACAGCCTCATCTCGGTAAGAGCGACTTGGATACGGAAGGAAATGATGGGGACGAAGATCGACAGCTCTATTCGGGACTCGCTGTCGGCGCCGCCGCGGACGTTGTCTGCTTGAGACAACACCGGCCGCTATCGGTTTTGGACACCATCTGCTGCAGGGCATAGTCTCATTTTCTTGTGTCCAGGGCATGCCAATCCTCTTTCTCTTCGGGGGCGTTCAGGAGGGCGGCGATGTATAATGGCCAGGGCCATAATGTCTCCTCCGATGTCATTGCCCCCTCGTGCAATGCATCACTTGGTCCTCTTTGGCCGCGCACGTTCCTCGCTCGGGCCATGACTTGCGAGACTCCCTCTTAGACGCCCCCGTCGCCGATGTATCTTCCCACTCCCAAGGACGACGAGTTACGTGTGGCACAGGTTGGAAGGACAATCTATCACACATGCGACGGCTTCTTTCTAAGATTTTCCTGAGCCAGGTGAACACGGGCACCATTGTGTAAGGCCCCCCCAGACCGAACCGACTCTCAAGGGTCCCGCTCCCGCGGATCTGCGCGCTCTGCTTCGCTCCGCTTCGCTTCTGTCCCCCCTCCCTGTGCGACATCACTGACAGTGCGAATCCATGGACGTACGTACAAGTCTCTCTTGTTGGAGCTGGGTCTCACCGAAGAGACGTCCCCACGGTGATCGGCGGGACCAACACGATGCACATGGGAGGGGTTACTGCCCCAACGCCGTCGTCCTCAGGAGGACGCGCGTGGAGCGGTGTCGACGCCTGTCCTCTCTTCCCCGCCCCTCCCCCCCCACGAAGTCGTGAAGCTGTGGGCAGTATCTAGTGGTTATCACGATGCCATGCCCTCCTCATCCTCCCTCCCTCCTTCCCTCCACTCCTTGCTCTCCTCCACTCCTCCTCCTCTTCCTCCTCCTCCTCCTCCTCCTCGTCGTCGGCAAGTGGCGTCGTCTGCCGCCTGAATTCGAGGCGCACTGGTCCAGGCGTCGCCCCGCCCCCCCCCTCTGCCTGAGGTGACCAGCGGTCCCTCCCTTGACGTCGTCGTCGTCGTCGTCGTCGTCGTCTTCGTCGGCGGCGGCGGCGTCGTGCTCCTCCTCTTCTTCCTCCTCTTCCCTCCCTCCCTCCCTCCCTCCCTCCATTCCTCCCTCTCTTATCTCTCCCTCCCTCCCTCCCTCTTTACAATTACTCAATATGAATACTACTCTCCCTCTTCCCCTGATGACGGTTTGAAAGTGCTCGACCCCCCCCCGCGTACGGTTTTTTTACACACAGGTTCCCCGGAGTTGGGTTTTCGCCTGCATTTTTTCAAAATGCTGCTCTCGCTGAGGCGCCGGCCTCATTTTCGGGCCCCGCTCGTTCCGAATCGTGCTCCCGCTGCAGCGCTGGCCTCACTTCTGCGCTTCCGCTCGTTTCGACTCGTGCTCCCGCTGCAGCGTTGGCCTCATTTCCGCGCTTCCGCTCGTTCCGACTCGTGCTCCCGCTGCAGCGCTGGCGTCATTTCCCGTGCCATGCCACGGCATGCAATGCAATGTTAGGTTGATGCTACGCTTTGCGGTGCTCTTCTACGCCATGCCATGCCGTACTCTACAATGCATCGCGTACGCTTTCGGGATCCTTGCCCTGCTCGACATCCTACTGTGCGAGTAGAGAGGGGATCTACGCCATGGTAAGGGATGGGAGAGAGGGGTAGGAAGTCAGATATGACGCGAGCGCACCTAGCTTGCCCTCCCCCCCTCCCTCCCTCCCTACCTCCTCACCCTTTCCAGGATGGGGAGGAGGAGGGGGGGCATGAGGATATGGGGACGTTCTTGACCATGCCCCAATGGCCAAGCTACACCCAACTCCACGAGCACACCCCGAAGACTTCCCAGGATCTTCCCTCTTTCTTCTTTCTCTCTCTCTCTCTCTCTCTTCCTCCATCCTCCTCCCTCCTCCTTCCCCATCCTTATCCACCCGCCTTCTCATTCGTCCTTCTTTCTCACACCTCTTTCTTTATCGTCGTATCATTGGCCGTGTCGCTAGGTAGGGCAAGTCGTTTTGCCGACGACCGTCTACCCCTCCTTGCACGAGGCCCACACGCGCGCCCCCCTGTATGAGGCAGCGGGCGGCAACCTGGCGAGTCCTTGGCGGACCCCCCCCAAGCAGAAACGAGGCGGTAATGGGCGGAAACGTGGCGAATCTTTGGCGGACGCTCGAGGCGGCAGCGAGGTGGCAACTGGCAGCGTCGGGCGGCAACGGGCGGCAACGCGGTGAATCCTCGGCTGACGCCCCAAGCGGCAACGAGGCGCCCACGGGCGGCGACGCGGCGAAGCCTCGCCGGACCCCCCAAGTGGGCAGCAACGAGGCGGCCGCGAGGCGACCGCGGGCAGCGACGCGGCGAAACCTCGGCGGACCCGCCCAATTCCGTAGCTGCGCGAGTAAGACCCCCTAAATGCAAGCACCGCTTGAGGAATGCCAACATTCCCCAATCAGTGCTTGCACTGAAGGGGTCCTAGCGGGTCCTCCCCGGTTCCGGGTTCCCTGGTTCCCGATTGCAGGTTCTTTGTCGATCTCACCATCGATTTCATTGTCGATCTCACCATCCATTTGTTTCAATCGATCTCACTATCGATCTCACTTTTGATCTCACTCTCGATATCACTATCGATATTACAATCGATCTCATTGTCGATCACACTACTGATATCACTATAGATCTTACAATCGATCTCACGAAAGATCTCACGATCGCTCTCAATATCGGTCTCACTATCGATATCATCATCGATGTCTCTATCGATCTCACTATCGATGTCCCTCAATCGTTCCCACTACTACTGATATCACTATTGATCTCCCTATCGGTATGACTGTGAATCTCACTATGGACCTGACAATCGATCTCACTCAATCGATCTCGCTCATTTGATCTTGCTATCGAACACACGATCTTCGATCACATTCAATCAACATCACTGTTGATCTCACTATCGATCTCACTATCGATCTCGCTGTGGATCTCACCATCGATCTCACCGTGAGACAGAGAGAGGGAGAGACATAACCAAGCAACTATGACAAATACAAAATGATAGAGGCGGAGTAGAGAGAGAGAGAGAGACATAAGGAGAAAGCGCGTATATGTATGTATGCATGTATACATACAGATGCACAGGGAGGTCTAGGGAGTGATGCAAACACACATGTATATAGGACATAAGAGAGGGAGAGAAGGAAACACATAACGAGAGAGACAAAGAGAGAGAGAGAGAGAGAGAAATACTTATAACCAGAGAGAGAGAGAGAGGAAACTATAACTACTAGACTGGACTAGAAGGCATATTCGAATTAGACTAGGGCGGGAGGGAAGCCGATTGAGGCACCTGCGAAACAATCAAACATCCATTGATAGGGTTTTCCCAGGTGTAGAGCATACATGATATGTTCTCATCTCTCATCTCTACATGTGTAAGTATGTATGTAGATGTGTCTCTATGTATACACATACTCAGTCGGGTTCGACAGCCTGGGCGGAGGGGAGGTGGGCGGCAAACCGCCGCGGACCAGGTTCAACGTTGGGGCTCCTCGGGCGGCCCCATAAGTGGTCCCAGACGCCCCCAGGGGCGGCCCCCGGGACGCCCAGAGCCACCCCTCGGTGCCGGACGATATCCTGGGGGGCCCGCTCAGTCTGGAAGCTTCCCGGGGGAGGGCCAGTCCCCGGAAGGCCGGCTGGGGAAAACCCGCGGGCGCAGCGCATTTAGGGGGGGCGATGGATGGGGGGGGGTGAAGAAAGGTGCACCCTTTGTGCCCTGAAGGAAGCGGCCCCCTGGGGCCCAACAGGGGCGAGAAAGGTGCACGTTTCTGCCCCCTCCCCTCCCCATGTGTCACGTCCTTTCGCTCGCTTCGCTCTCGATCCCTTGGTCCGCCCTCCTTTCTGGTTCGGCCCCTCGGGCCCTCGTTCGCTCGGGCTTTCACGATTCGCGCATGACTCTTAACCCACGCACAAATCAAAAAGCCATGTGTTTCGGGCGAGAGAACTATTGCACATGCACCGGTCCTGGCCAGGCCCATCCTTCGGCCCCAGGATCGGTGCATATGCCTCCTGGCCAAGGCAGGGGGTACAACATTGCGTATGCACCGATCCTGGGGCCAAGGATGGGCCTGGCCAGGACCGGTGCATGTGCATAGTTCTCTTCGCCCGAACACATGGCTTTTTTGATTTGTGCGTGGGTTAAGAGTCAATGCGCGAAGTCCGTGAAAGCCCGAGCGAACGAGGGCCCGAGGGGCCGAACCAGAAAGGAGGGCGGACCAAGGGATCGAGAGCGAAGCGAGCGAAAGGACGTGACACATGGGGAGGGGAGGGGGCAGAAACGTGCACCTTTCTCGCCCCTGTTGGGCCCCAGGGGGCCGCTTCCTTCAGGGCACAAAGGGTGCACCTTTCTTCACCCCCCCCCATCCATCGCCCCCCCTAAATGCGCTGCGCCCGCGGGTTTTCCCCAGCCGGCCTTCCGGGGACTGGCCCTCCCCCGGGAAGCTTCCAGACTGAGCGGGCCCCCCAGGATATCGTCCGGCACCGA